TAGTAGAGGGTTTTGTTATAACTATTAAACTGCACAAGCTAGAGGCTAGAAAAGGTTAAAAAAGGGGGGGTACCTAGCAAGCATACCTATTAATAGGTATACTTTGCTAGGTAGTGTTGATAACTTAGCTAATACTAGGCAGAATTAGCTAATTCTTTTTTTATTAGAAGGTGCAATACTAGGCGCTTCTATTGAATAATAGATTATGTAAGCGTATCTCTGCTAGTTAAGAAGCTATAAGCCAAAACGTAAAAAAGCATACCCTACCCATCCGCCAGCCTACTATATAGTCCTTCGTGCCTGTCTGTGCGATCTCCACAGTGCACGCAGCGTGCTACTCTGGTGCAGCAGGCAGGGTTACAATAGCCTTGGCAGCCTAGGTTGTGTTGCTGTATTGTAGGGTGTTTGTTAATTACTTTTAAGAACGCGCTAGTTCTAAAAAGCCTAAACAAGCGGACTAGCTCTTTATAGGAAACAATCTATATTGTGAGGCCCTGTTGGTTAGCTCTGTGTCGTGAGGTCCTGCAGCTAACTAGCTGCTTGCCTGTCTGTGAGCAGGCCTTATCTTCCACTAGCTGAGTGGTAGTAGGAATTTCTGTCCTGTCTAGAGTGTGGAAGGAGCTAGGTACTCCTTAGACTGCGTAGTTGATCCAGCACTCTAGGGTCCTAATAGCATCACTGTCTAGAGCATTTAGAATATGCTCCTGGTTTACTTAGGTCATAAGTCGGTCCTGAATTGTCTTGTTAGCTAGGGTGAGCGCCTAGCTAGTATTGATTGGCGATGCAGTAGGGATGTCTTAGAGGGTGATTCCCTCTATGCTCCTGCATACAGCCTGCCTTACTGCAAAGGGGGAGGGTTGCTGTATTTGCCCTGTTGGGTTGGAGATTTGGACGAAGATGTGGCAGTCCTCTTTAGGCTTAGACGGCGGGTCAGGGTGGGGTCTAGCTGTGTTGAGGGGTTGGTTACTACCCCTGTTGTTTGGCACTGAGATTTTTAGGTCTCTCGCTACGTCCGCCCAGGAGCGGCGGCCTAGGTGTTGGCTGCCTGGGTAGCTGTGGCTGGTGTCACTGCTCCGGCGGAAGTTGGTAGCTGAGTTGCTTGGGGAAAGGGAGGTCAGAGCCTGGATAACCTTCTGCTGCAGCTCTGCTGCGATCCTAGCTTCTTCAGGATCTTTGTAGCTCTCTGTGTGGTGGTCTACAGCTGCAGCAAAGGCAGTAGTGATGGTGTTCCACAACTGGGTGATTTTTTGAGTTTCGGTGATGTGGCGTTGAACGGCATCATAAGCTCTGGGTTTGGGAGCGCCCCCACTGGGGATCTAGCTGCTTAGAGGAGGGGCCTGATGGTGCAGGTGCCTCTGGAGCTGGATTGAAGCGCGTGTATTAAGCTGTTGCAGGGACTCAGGGTCTGGAGACCTCGTGTGCTGGGAGGTTGGAGACTCTGCCATCCTGACAAGCTCCTCCGCGGGTCGCGCGAGGGGCGAGGCGGACGTAGGAGATACTCCCAGGGTGCCCGCGATAACCTAGATCAGTTGCTGTGGTTTTTAGGGCCCCAGTGAAGGTTACCCAAAAATCGAAAGATTGGTGTTCGGTGCTCTCAACCTCACGACTGTACGCGCGCTTCAACAGCAAGAAGCAGCCAACGTTAAGCAGCTGCAGCAGGTGGGATAAGTGAGGTGGCATGCAGAGCGTGTAGATATTGTTCTCCTTGCAAAGCTCTTGAAACTTAAGAGAGTGGTGGCTCGCGTGGCTGTCAAGGACAAGCAGGCAGCGCGCACTAACGACACGAGTCTTTGTGTAAGTGTTAAAGTGCTTTAGCCACTCTACGCCTAGCTTGTTGTTTGTCTAGCTATTGTTGCTAACTGCTATTGCCTAGTCGCGTGGGATATCCTCCTCGTACCAGGCAGAGAGGTGGTACTTGCTAGCAAAGATGAGGAATGGTGGGACTGACCAGCTAGCTGCGTTGATTGCAGCGATCAACGTCACCCACTCACGATTGCCTGGCTGGATAGCCTTTGGCCTGCCTCTCCTCTCTAACCCTGTCACGACAAACTAAGTCGTGATCTTGCCTATTATAAAGCTAGCCTTGTTAAAGTTGTAGACGTCATTATCGCAGATGCTGTACTTGGCCTTTGTCTCCTCTACAAGCTTAAACCAGCTCCTAATTAGGGCTGGATCCTCACACTGGGCTCTCTGTCCATTGTACGCTCAATTGAAACGCGTCGTGAGACTGTCTGTACGCTTGACAAAGCTGCGCGGCCAGTGGACGCCAACCTGACCAGCGCCGCGCGCAGCCAGCAGCTTATCAGCCATATCACGTACAGCATCGTACGTAGGCGCAAATCCACGTGTATCCAAGTCGAGTATATGTCTGATAATCACCTGCTCCTCTAGCTTGGTGAGCTTCTTTGAGTTGGGCTGGCAATCGCGTCAGGCGCGCGTCCTAGCGCGTCAGCGTTGGATGGTAGTTCAAGAGACTCCGTACGTATAGGCAGCAGATCTCTTAGTTGATATTTAGCGTTGATTAAGAGCTAAGATTGCGAGGTTTACATCAGCCTCATAAGAGCTGTTTTGGCTGTGGTGGGAGGGGGCCATGGTTGATTGAAGTATACACGTTGCGCAAAGTTAGTGCCCGCTTGCTTGTACGGCCCGCTCGCTTGTAAAACATGTTAACATTTCTCGCAATAACATCTTTTAGGTGTGGCTCTACAGCTTCATTTTTCTATTGTTAATATCTCGTTGGGGTGGCTCATCGGCTGAACTGGCTCATCGGGCGCACGACCACGGTAAGGCGGAGACGTTTGGTGTTGCGTTCTCGGTCTCGTACAAGACAGCAAGAGGATCGCCGTCCTCACGGACGTTGAGCTTGTAGCCAGCATAGCCGTCGCTATTGGCCAGCTGTCCAAGCACCATGCAGGGGAGAATAAATGTCGCAAAGACTGTAGTGAAGGCGCGCATGATAAGCGACGGTCTTCGACATTTTGAGAAGTAAAGAAAGGACGCGGCTACACGAGCTGCTGGGAGAGAATGCAGGGACATAAAGCTTGGAAGGCGACGAGCGAACAAGAGAAGGAACGTCGACGCATGGTGCGCAGTTGTATGTGACAAGGTGATGGATTGTCGGTATGGACATGTGATTCGTATGATGCGTTTTCAAGCCACGACCGAAATTACAGTGCTAAGTGGGGCTATACTAACGACTTTTATATTCTGGGAATCAGGAATCTCTGTTCTCCACTCAAGAACCAGATAGTCGATGGCTTCTCTGCCTCTTTTCTGGACGTTCTTTAACACATGGTGCAGGTCAGGTTGTTCAGGCGACAGTCCAGAAGGCTTCTGGCGGATCTGGTGAAATCGCATCTTCCACACCATCTGCAACAGCGTCACCTATCACACTTCCTATCAGCTCGTCCACTGGCACTGCGTAGATTTAGAGAAGGCTGTAGCAGATAGTATGAAATATATTTCTCAGTAACTGACATCATGTTCCTCGAGGCCGCTGTGAGGGTCGCATGTTTACAATTCGAGCTGTCGTATAACACCTACTGATAATCAGATAGACTAAGAAAGTGGATTGAAGCTGGGTAGAAATCTTCGTTAATCCATCGGACAGGGCACTACCGGGGAGCACGGTTTTGATACTCTCCTTGAATGGAGTCAACTTTCCGAAGCTTCTCAAACTGAGTGCAGGCTGCCGAATGAGGAACACGGTACTATTTCGAAGATCTGTGGATCTTTAAATGTCAAGAGAGATGATTGTGTGGTACCAGTGAAGGAAAACCCTCTAAATTTAGTGTGCTTCTTCCGAGGTTCGACGTGCTCTTCATATATACTTCCGCATCTGCAGTTCTGCTTGCTACGGCACTTACTCAGCAGTCATCCGTCTGGACCACTCCTGACTTGGTGGTACTCGCGCGTAGTTTAAACGTCTCTACAAAGCCTTGAAAGGTCTCTGATAGCTTCGATAGGCGACCTGAAATCCGCTTGCCAGCGGAGTCTATGCTACCGTGTGTCATTGTGATTAATGTAGCCATCATAAGGACTTGAGATTGCAAAGTGACTTTGATGGGATACGTGGAGTCATCGAGGATTCTGTCTTCACGGTGATTAGTCCCGTACCCATTAGCCACATACCTTCGCTTGCTGCAGCAGTCTGAGCATCTCAGGTGCTGATAGTGCGTTTGTCCCTTCCGGGGGTCCAGAAACCATGCTTCATCAGCGACACACGAAAGATAGCAAGCATGATCTATCGAGGAGTAGTCCAGAGATTGGCGGTCTGCAACTGCGTCTGAGCCCGAATAACGTTGCGGATGCAATACGTAGGCATGAGAAAGAATGAGCGAAGTGTGCGAATTTAGTAGAGCGCCCAGGATGGATCAAGCATCTGAAAACGATGTTTATGATGATGGACAGATGTTTTTTTTTTCAGTCAGCCTTGATGTTAAATACGCTGGGTAGCTGACTTGCCCATATTGAGGCCCAGGAGTTCATTGCAAACCTCTCGAAGTAACCATGCAAGGAACACAGACCTCGGCACCACAACGGCCGGACGGACCAGGACACCTTCTCCATGGTCAGACTTGGCAGAGATGTTGGCTTGGAAGTGATTTGTTGAGTAAAGTTGGTGTACCGTTAGCACTAGACAGTGACAGAAAATTCGGGCATCTTGACAAGCCAATTCTCCCAAAATCTGAAGCCGTCGAGGCTTTGCTCACGACACAGGGCCCCGGCTTCCTCAGCCATCTCGAGTTCTTCGATCGCTACTCCAACACTCCATCCAAACTTCTCGGCAGTCTCTTGCACAGTGACGCCTCTGCCATATAGTTGCCAATCCCATAATACGTCTGAGCTTGGCATCTGGCTGTGCAGGCTCTTCAGCCATGCGAGTAGACTAGCAATAGTCTTCTCGTCCGTTCGATCACGGCCTTGAACCACAAGTAGGCCACTCTTGAATTGTCGCAACCGGATGGGAAGCTTAAGTGTGTCCCACATCCTCGCTGCTTTCTCAAAGTCAGCAGGGCTGACGAGCTCCACGCCACCCCTTGCCCGGTTGAACATCGCCCAAAGGTCGACAAGTGTCATGATACCACCTCCCCTCCGCAGAACGCCTCTTGTGTCATCGGTGAGCCACTCTGCGAGGTTTCGTGACAGCTCAGATACGTAAAGTGACTCTGAGCCTGAGCCCAACATGTCCTTTGTGGTAATGAGGCCTAGCGCAGACACCGATTGCGATGCTAGAGCAGTGTCTTCAGAGCTGCCATTTGTGCCCAGGTTCGCCTGTTGCGCAAACTGCTCGGCAAGAGCAATGATCTCTTTCGCAGAGGTCATCAGTGCCTCAAGATCCTCAAATGCATTACCGATCATAGCTTCATTATTTTGTCTTTGCTCCAACCCACGGCGCTCGAGGCCAGCAATACCTACCACTCGCGGTCGCTCGATCTCAGCAGAGGATTTCCCAGCCTTCGATGAGTAGCCATCGTCAAATGCACCAGAATTTGGTCGTGGCTTCGGTATAGGTGGTGCACTTTGCAGCAACCACTTGCGCTGCACTAAGGCATTCTTAAGACGTTCATAAAAGATTTTCTCGCCGCCGCTGCGAAATGAAAGCTTGATGCATTCGATTGTCGTCGTCTGAATAGGCGTGGACAAAGACGGGCCCGGAGAATCTGCTCTTCGAATCTCTGAAACGTGCTCTAGTCGCTTATCAACTGCAGTCGTCAAAGACGCACCGCAAAGCTCACAATTGAACAGCGAGGGGTGGTTCTGGTATGTACACCTCGGGCACACTATTCCTTCAGGAGATGGCACCGAGGCGGTGGCACCATTCTTGCTGTCTTTTCGTGGGGCGGCTGGACCTGGTCTGTTCGAGATAGCCGCTATTGCTGCCTTGACTACATGCATAATAGGCGGCTTAATGCCACAAGCTAGACATGGCGGTATCGGTGTGCGTGACGCGAGTGCAGGATCGAAGTTTGACGGGACTGGATTCGAGAAGGAGCAAATTGGGCACACCCACGATGCAGTAATCGACGGAGCTGGCGCAGGACTGTTTCGACGTTCTGGAGAGCCAGATGAGGGGTTAGGTGCAACGGGCGCATTCAGACCGCGTGACAATTGGTTTGCGGGTTTGGGGAAGAGGGTGATTTTGGGCGATGACTTAAGAAAGCCAGCCTGTGTGGAATATCAGCGCCTGTTATCGCATGCTCCAATGCGCACCGAGACCACCAAACCTACATAAAGGTCCGGCTTCTCTACATCTTTAAGGAAGATAGCGACCGAGTTCTTGCGCGGCTCAGCGTGATCGACGTAGCAGACTCGATGTGATGTCAAGTAAGCTTGTCCGTTCTGGTACTGTGGGATCTTGAATTTGCTGCCGGGGAGGTGTCAGTTGCATAGCGAGCCGTAAGTCATACTGCATGAACATACCCCTCATACAGACCCACGGCATCTTGCACGAACAATAACGTCTCCTCTGGCAAGAGCGACGGGCGCAGAGCCGTGGTCAGGTCGAGCTGATGCAGGAACATCCAGGACATTCATGGGGTGGATTGACGGCCATGGCAGCCTGGACGCGTGCACGTTGCGCGCATTCACCAAGGCCGTCAGTCGTCATACTAAGGGGCGAATGGGGACTAGCTCAAGACGGCGCCAAGGGTGCTCTGATCCGCTTTGTCGCTTCACTCACCTCCGCACACCTCAAAGACTCGACAGACATCCCAGCAGCATTCACCCAATCTTCGCGGCGCCGTTAACTACTCACCTCATAGTCACACACTCTTGCCTCTTCTTGTCTGCGAAGTTAGCAATAATGATGCCCACCGCCACCTCCGCGTGGGGCCAGCCTATGCAGCCACCCGCGTACAATGCGGTTCAGCCACGCACCACACTCCAGGCTGCGCCTGCTCCGGTACATCTTGCAGGCCTCGAGAACAACGTATCTACGCTAATACGCTGCGACAGGCGAGCACTGCTACCAGCAAGCCGAAGAAGGTCGAGTGGCCCCCTGCGGTGCGCGACTATGTTCGCCGTGCCTTCGACCCCGAGAGCGCCATCGCTGGAGTTTCCAGCATAGAAATGCAAACAAAACTGAAAGAAACCATCAGCTACTACGCCGAACGGAACATGCAAGACTCGATCGACTGGACCACCTATCCCTTGCCTCAAGAGCTCATTCTCGAAGAGCGACGCAAAGACGCGCTTTTGTCGCCTACTAATAATGGCTTTGCGAACGGCATCTCTTCTCTCCAACTCAACGGCACAAACGGCCAAACTAACTCTTCTCCATCGACACTGAAGAAGCGCAAATCGCAAGACTCACATGAGCTCGCACAACAAACCCAAGCAACCCTCCCGCCTTGGCGTAGAACTAACCTAGAATCACGTATGACTTTCGCCGAGGGACACAACGAGAAGCGCCAAAAGAAGACCGCCGCAGCTGACGCCGCAAGTAAGTTAGAGCAAGCGGAGCTAGAAAAGAGACGACAACGGTTCAACCTGGGCAAGGCCGGCAACAACAAGACACCACCATGGGGATCTTCGGCAAAGGACGAGGACGGGATGCCGGCTGGTCCTGTCGTCGGAACCAACATGGCGCTCGAGAAGAGCTACTTCCGTCTGACTGCACCGCCAAAGGCAGAGACCGTCCGACCGTTGTCTGTGCTCGAGAAGACCTTGGCCATGCTCATTAAGAAATGGAGGGCCGAAAAGAACTACAATTACATCTGCAATCAGTTCAAGTCACTCCGCCAGGATCTGACTGTGCAGCACATCAAGAATGCCTTTACTGTAAAAGTCTACGAGACCCATGCCCGGATATCGCTGGAGAAGGGGGACACGGGTGAGTATAACCAGTGCCAGACGCAGCTGAAGGCGCTGTATGCACTGAATCTTGGTGGCAAGCCGGCTGAGTTCAAAGCCTACCGCATCCTCTATTTCGTATATACGTGCAACAAGACCGACATGAACGACATGTTGGCTGAATTAACCCCTGCAGACAAGACACACCCATGGATCAAGCACGCCCTCGATGTTCGCTCGGCTCTGGCTCTTGGCAACTATCACAAGTTCTTCCGCCTGTACCTCGAGGCTCAGAACTTGGGTGGCTACTTGATGGACCTCTTCATCGAGCGTGAGCGACTAGCAGCTCTCGCTAACATGTCTAGAGCGTAAGCACATGTTTGATCACTGCACACACGCACCTGCTGACATATTGTAGTTACATTAGTATCACTCTGCGCTTCCTGACTGATGAGCTCGCTTTCGACAACGATGAAGTATGCCGTGAATTTCTCGAGTCGCATGGCGCGCAGACCGTCATCGAGGAGAAGTTCAACGAAAAGGCCGGCAAGCAGTACCGAGTGAAGATCCGCGAAGGTGCCGTGCTTTTCGAACAACTCCGTGCCGCTGCATTCAGCAAAGTAGACATCAAGGGCCAGATATGAGCTTCCAGCATCAACGATGGCGATACGAATCCTCACATTCAGCGTGCACCCTTCCTCGAGTCGCGCATTCGTCATTCTAGATTTCTTTATCAAATTCCTGCGCCTCGCACTACGTCACTATGGACCTGCCTGTCCAGAGCACCGCCTTGAACAGCCATGTCCCGGCATAAAATGTTTCCTGGCGTCAGTTGACCGGAACGCGGGGTATCCGCTCATGCGTTGAATGCAGCGAATCTTCTAGTCATTTCCCATACGTTGGACGTCTCAAAAGTGGTTCGCGATCGCCAAGCTACGTCTTTTTCTTCTTTGGTATCACCCATCTTGCAAGAGCAGACGCAGCAGTGGATTTGGAAAGAGTGACATATCAGAGGGTTACAATGGTGCAAGAACGGAGGACGCTGGGAGGTTTTTCGAAACAAGGCTGAGCGGCACTACTATAACGCCTGCATCAGCCTTAAACTGCCCGACACCACCACGTGGTTCTGCGGAGATCGGCACTGTACCTAGGACGGCCTCTTCCGGCTCGGCGATATTATTGCACGATATTACCGGTATTGGGGATCTCGAATGGTGGCATTGTCGAAGGTTACCCGACCACCATCATTTCGAAGTCTGCGCCGCAACGCGTCTTCGATGGCCGTTGCGTTGTCCCGTCCGAGGCGCTAAGGCTAGACCAATGAAGTGGACAGAGTGGATCTTGGGAACTTGATTGGCACGCAAGGGTGCTGAACATGAACGGCGTTGGCGCTGGCACACCCACCTTGAGGCTCGAAGGCGTTTACGATAGTGTGCAATACATTGGACTATACCTCTTCTATAGAATTGTGCAGCGCTCTTAACAACGTCAATAGTGACATTACTGTACGCGCACGTCTTCGTATCAGCCATCAATGCGGCAGGCACTATAATGTGTCACAATCGGACCTTGCCAGCATGCCCCCGCTGCCGAGGGAATGGAACAGGCACACGTGTGGAGCTCTTTGTGAATTTGCAATGCTCTAGAGGGGGTCCACCTGTGAGAGACGGGTTGTTGTGTCATGATATGATGACAAGCACTGAAAGAAGCAGACAACGAGTGTTCCCATTGTCGTACCCCGCCAAAGTCTGATAGGCTCCTAGCGCAGAACAGCTGCACGCTGAGGCCCAGGTGGAACCGGATGCAGGTCCGCTTCCGGCTATGTCAAGAGGGCGTAGCCTTGCAGTAGTCGGTTGATGTGAGGACATCCCCACGGTCTGGGAAGACGGGCTAGGTATTTTGCAGTGAACACATTCCGCAGCGCACGGCCGTGTGTCGTCACAAAACGACGCGCAGCCACGGAGTTCCGCGAAGATCTCCCAGGATAGACAGGGCCCTGCGACAACAAAGACCAGCAAGTGCCGGGTGTCTTCAGGCCGTCGAGCAGCGAGGCAACCCATTCGCCCCTTTTGCACTGCCAGAGCACTGCCCAAAACCCCGGGTTGCCAAGTGCGCTGCACGCCAGGATCCCATTGCCTTGCCGTTGCTCCTAGGTAGTGGAGCGCCCGCAGCGCCTGCTCATTTCTTGCTTCTGCGCTGAACTCTGTGGTCACCAAACGACGACTTCTCGCCTTGTCCGCCGTTCGTACTAGAACGTCTCGAATACATCCCTCGACCACGCTACCGCCACTCCTCTCAGGCGCACGAACGGTCTTCACGAGCCGCTCACTCGCAGTCTCGCACCTCATTTCACCACCCTGTCCCCGCACACGCCAACCGGAGCCCACGATCGCCCGCTGTCCCTCGTTGCTGCCCCAAGTCCCGCCTTTCACTCACGCCCGCGGTGCAGTGCGCGCAGACAGCGAACGTCTCTAACGTCTCTCGCCGTCGTGCCCTCATTAGCTGCCCGCCATGAAGGTATGCCGCCACCTGCGCGCCCGCGCGAGTCGCAGCCCTGTCGCGACCTGTGTGCGCATGCGCTAACATGATGTGCCCAGTTCCGCCGGTCGATGAAAGGGGAGAAGGACGTACACCGTCCGCACCACATCTCCATCCCGGCCAAGGATGCGATAGCCATAGTGCCGCCTAAGAAGGTGCGTGATCAGCTTTGCCATCCCTTTCACTTTGCGCCGACCAAGTCGACTTGCGCGACCGTCTGCACCCCACCCCGGTTTCCCAAAGTGGCAGCACGCGCGCGAAGCTAACGGTCGATCCAATTTCGCAGGTCATAAAAGCACTTTACGATTACAGGTCCACCAACCCGGACCAGCTCAGCTTTTCCCAGGGCGACTTCCTGCACGTCGTTAACCGCGAGAACGATCCTGACTGGTACGAAGCTTGCAACCCGCTGCACGGCTCTCGCGGACTTGTTCCCGTCTCGTACTTCGAGGGCGTCGGAAAGACAGTGCGCGACAGCGCCGGCTCAGCACCTCGACAGTCCGCGCACACCCAGCCGCACGACTCTGGCTACCAGGAGCCCCTCAGAGGGATAGGTAGCCCCAACCCACCGAACACGGCCGGCATGATACAGAATATGATGGGCCACCAGTCGCGCATGTCCCAGTCAGGGAAGACGGGGGCTATGGTCTACGGCATTGTGATCTACGATTTCAAGGCAGAGAGACCAGACGAGCTGGACGCGAAGGAGGGCGAGGCCATTATCGTCATCGCACAGTCGAACCCAGAGTGGTTTGTCGCGAAGCCTATAACTCGACTCGGCGGACCAGGCCTTATCCCAGTGTCCTTCATCGAGATCCGCGACATGACCACAGGGCAAGCCGTGCCAGACGCCCAGCAGGCGGTGGCAGCAGCAGGCGTCCCAAAGGTCGAGGAATGGAAAAAGATGGCAGCAGACTACAAGAACGGCAGTATACCGCTCGGCAAGCTGCAGGACAACACACAGCAGTCGCTACAAGCTGGCATGGAGCGCATGAGTCTCGGTGGACGAAGCCAGACACAGGGCAGGAACGGCTCCGTAAGCTGGTGGACGCTAATGCTTTCATCTGTCGCTAACGATATCAAGGTATCTCACTCACGTTCTGGATCTTTTGCGATGCAAGGAGGTCAAAGCCAGCACTTTGCCCCTGTCAAAGCATGTGTACCACGATACTGCTTCGCCGACGACATATTCTGGTTTATCATCGAGTGCCAGATGGAAGATGGCAGACACTGGGAGCTCCAGCGCCTGTACCAGGACTTCTACGACCTCCAAATCCAGCTTATTGCTACCTACCCCGTAGAAGCTGGCACCAGTGGTCAAGGGGAGCGCACATTACCGTTCATGCCTGGGCCTGTTACCTACGTCACCGACAACATCTCGAACGGCCGCCGCGCGAATCTGGATGAGTACATTAAGAACCTGCTCAAGCTGGGTTCGCACATCACACATGGTCAACTTGTGAAGGGCTTCTTTACGCCGCGACAGGGTGACTATGAGATCGACCCAGAAATTATCGCCCAGGAGAACTACAGGTTATCTCAGCAGTCTGGACAGTCGTCAAACCACTCCCATGGAGGTTCCACGAGCAGACAGTCGTCTGCCGATCAGCTGCAGGCTACGACGCCAGTCACTCCTTACTCGACAGGATCGTACGGCGTTCACCAGCGAGGTCAGTCATCAGCCTCACAAGTATACTCATCGTCGCTCAACCCGCCGCCGATGAATAACCAGCATTCCTCCACCTCCACGAACACCGGTACATCATCAGCACTCAAGATCAAGGTCTGGTTCGAAGAGGACAACTGTGTCGTCATTCGCATGCCAATCTCGCTTCGCTTCACCGACCTGTACAACAAGCTGAGAGAACGAAGACGACTCGAGAGGCCTAATGAGCCCGACGAAGATCTGATCGTGGAATACCGAGACGAAATGGAGGGAACATTTTTCCCCATTGAGAATGACGAAGACCTGCAGATTGCGGTCGAAAGGAATCCAAAGCTCACTCTCAGCGTAACAACGGCGAGATGATAGCTGTGAGGTGCTTTGGGGTAGTAACTTCTTTCGCTTCTTTTAGTGTCGCTACTTCGGCGGCACCGCTTACTTCTTTACATGCTTTACGATCGATACCTCTCTGCTTTGGGCGCTGCTTGCACATCATGGAAAGGCGTTCCGCGGAGTACCCAGGCGTTGCGGCTGCACGATTCCCACTTGTCGGTTCCGGGTGTTCGGATTATCCTTATGGGCGTTGTTAAGTGCATAGGCTGGTTGGTCCACCTTCTCGCTCTCGTTTCTCACGAAGACACAGGTTGTGTAATGGGATATGTAGATGGGCGCTCGGCATAAGCGCACGCGAGGAGATGCGGTGCAACATGACAGATGAGATGAGAGATATTTTACTCTGGGCCGTGCTTGTGATGTTCGCGTGATCAGTCATTGATATTGCATTGGGCAGTTCTGATGCTGAAGGGTTGCCCTTCGTCTTCATGAGGACAAACTTTATCATTGTGACCTCCGACTTCTCCAGCCTGTTATCTTCCTACTCTAAACAATGAGCATCGTTCCTTTCTACCACACGGCTCACGATAGAAGTCAAAGCGGCGTGCAATGCTGGCCTCAACTTGTAGCCTCGTCAATCTTCAGGTAGTGACCGGTCCCTCGCTTCTGCTACCTCACCGAATAGCGCTCTTGCCCAGGCAGGCCTATCTTGAAGTCACAGCTGTCAAGATGTTTCGAGCAACGAAGGCGTCGGCAAAGTTCAGGGTCCATTATTGCGTCAAACGCATCGTGTTGCACCTCAACCGCAGATATGCGGGTAGATGGCGCTTACTGCAATGAGTAAAACCTCGGCGACTGTGGCTGCAGATCTTCGTGAGCATCAGCGACAGGTGGTCACGCTCGCTATCACTCACATACAACAGGCCTTACCTGACGTTATCCTCCGCAAGCGCTTCCCGTTCACCGCCCGTGCTGCCCCGCACATGAAGACCAACCAAGGAAGTGAATACCCAAGCTCCACAGTGGCTACCTCACGCTTAACGAAGCTCTTCCTCGCGTCCGTCGCAATCTTCATCTGTATAGCCGCCATCCTGTCTTCACTCCGACTCGCCGGGCGCACTCCCTCCATCCTGAGCCACATAAAGCCAGGCCCCTTCCGCAACCCACTCTACACGCAACCGTACCGCCCGCTTACCAATTCCACCATGGCGCCTGCACAGTACCAGAAACCGCCGCAGCTGCCACCCAAGTTCACCGCTACCAAGGAGAGCTTGCTGGCCGACACAAAGAGGCTGATCGAGAGGTCGCGAGGCGTGCAAGATGCCGTCGCCAAAGCAGGCAGGTCCGCCTTCGCGGACGTTCTCCTGCCCATGGCTCAAGATGACAACAAGATGGCCACTGAGTCGCACATCATTGGGTTTTACAACGCCATCTCTACCAGCAAGGAGCTTCGCGATGCTTCAAGCGAGGCAGAGCAGCTGCTTGACGACTTCGGCATCGAGTCATCCATGCGCGAGGACATCTTCCAGCTGGTCGACAAGGTCGTCAAGGCAAACGAGAAGCTGGATCCTGAGTCGACACGTCTGTTGGCAAAGGAGCACAAGTCGTTCATCCGCAATGGCCTGAACGTTCCCGCCGGCGAGAAGCGTGATAGGTTCAAGGCAATCAAGCAGCGTCTCAGCACAATCGGCATTCAGTTCTCAAAGAACCTGAACGAGGAAAATGGAGGAATCTGGTTCACGCCTGAGGAGCTTCACGGCGTACCAGACGATGTTCTCTCTGGCCTGAAGAAGGGAGAGGGCGAGAATGAGGGTAAGATCTGGCTGACCTTCAAGTATCCCGACCTGTTCCCTACCCTGAAGTACGCCACCAACGCTGGGACGCGAAAGAAAGTCTTTGTCGAGAACGAGAACAAGTGCAACCAGAATACTGAGCTCTTCCGTGAAGCTATCCTCCTTCGTGACGAGGCAGCTCGCATCCTCGGATATAAGAACCACGCTCAATTCAGGATAGAGGACAAGATGGCGAAGACACCCGGGACGGTTGATGACTTCCTCGGCGATTTGCGCAAGCGCCTGGCGCCAGGCGGTAAGAAGGAGATTGAGACTTTGATGGAATTCAAGAAGCAGGACGTTAAGGAGCAGGGTCTGACTGGTGAGCTGGCTGAGAAGTACTTCCTGTGGGATCACAAGTACTACGACCGTCTCATGCTGGAGAAGGACTTCCAGCTTGACCATCAGGTCATTGCTGAGTACTTCCCGCTCCAGACCACCATTCAGGGCATGCTCAAGATCTTTGAGGAGCTCTTCGGTCTGTTTTTCGTCGAGATCGCTGGTGAGGAGCGGGCCGCTCTGGCCGATGGTGGCAAGGCCGAAGACATTGTGTGGCACCCTGAAGTACAGGTCTTCAGCGTCTGGGATGATGAGGGCGAGGGTGCCGGCTTCGTTGGCTACCTCTACCTGGATCTCTTTCCCCGTGACGGCAAGTATGGACACGCTGCAAACTTCAACCTGCAGCCTGGTTTCATAGATGAGAACGGCAAGAGGCGGTACCCTGCGACAGCCCTTGTCTGCAACTTCTCCAAGCCTACATCTAAAAAGCCTTCGCTTCTTAAGCACGATGAGGTCGTCACTCTCTTCCACGAGCTTGGCCACGGTATCCACGACCTCGTTTCTCGCACCACATACTCTCGCTTCCATGGCACCAACACAGTCCGAGACTTCGTCGAGGCGCCATCGCAAATGTTGGAGAACTGGTGCTGGACTCCATCTCAGCTCCGCTCTCTGTCGCACCACTACTCTCACCTCTCTCCTGAGTACGAGCAGGCGTACCTCGAGTCGTCTGGTGCTGACAAGAAACCCTCTGACGAGCGCATTCCCAATTCGCTCATCAGCAAGCTCATCAACACCAAGCACGTCAACGATGCCCTCTTCAATCTCAGGCAATTGCACTTCGGCACATTCGACATGGCCATCCACGAGCCCAAGAGCCACGAGGAGATTCAGAAGCTTGATTTCACACAACTGTACAACAGCCTTCGCCAAGAGATCTGCCAACTTGACGGCCCCGAGGCTTTGAGCGGTGACATGAAGGGTGACTGGCACTGGGGCAACGGCCAGGCTACCTTTGGTCACTTGATCGGAGGGTACGATGCAGGGTAAGCCACACATCAATACAAGACATTGGCTTTTGGATTCGGATATTGACTAAGAGCAGCTACTACGGCTACCTTTCCTCGCAAGTCTACTCCACCGACATGTTCCACTCGGTCTTCAAGAAAGATCCCATGAACGCCAAGGAGGGCAGGAGGTACAGGCACACTGTGCTCGAGCGTGGAGGATCGATGGAGGAGATGAGCATTCTTGAGGAGTTTTTGGGCAGGAAACCGAGCACTGAGGCGTTCTACAAGGAGCTTGGGATCTCTAAATAAAGCGTGTAAAGGACTGGAGGTAGTCAGCATTCGATTAGCGAGCACTCAATGAAGATATGCATACCACGATGGCTATTCCTTCTCCTTCTCAATGACCTCGAAGCCCCCGGTGGAGCGGCTGCCGTGGACCGGGCAGAGGGAAATGGCCGCGCGACGCGCGAGGTACCGGTCTACCGAGTGAACGAAGAGGATGATGCTGACGATGCCAACACCGATGCCGATTTTCAAGCACCGGATGTACGACTGGAGGCCCTCGTTGTCAGCGCGGCACTGCGCGAACGCGTCGGTGCTGCGCTTGAGTGCGCCAGTCGATTACCTGAGGACCGAGACGCACGTCTTCAAGAGCCCCACGGTGATCTGGGAGGAAGACATGGTAGCGTTGGAGGTTTTGGAGGAAATGATGATAGAAATCGATGTGTTTCCGTTATGGGGTAATGTATTTTGCTTCGTGGTGTGGGGAGCGAGCTGGAAGGAAGGGGGTCTGTGGCTTTAGAGTGAATGGCTGATTGTCTTTGGGGATCTCTGGTTCCAATTTTGGAGACTATGGAGGCATTGGATTTAGAGTATTGCCGAGATGATGTATCCCTTGAGGCGAGCTTGGAGGCGATCACAGCCATCGTAGATGGTATATTGACAGGAAATCTAGAGGTGCTCGAGCACTAAGACCAGAACTGGACTTGGATCACATCGAAACTGCGAATATAGGTAATATAGGTATGAGCCTAAGGATGAAGTGATGTGTCTCGTTTGAAGAGAACTGCGGTTGTGAATGGGCAAGTGGAAAGTGAGATGGAATTACAGTGTACACAAGCACCTCAATATTCTACCTTCTCATCAATCTTCTCCCACTGTATATCTCCATATGAACACTTCCTTCCCTAGAACCTACCCCACAGAACCTGCCCCTAGCACCATGACTTGCCTCGAGCAACGTTCAACTCGCCATCTGCAACGCTACCTTTGCGAAAGTTGCCTCCTTTATAGAAGTTACCCGCGCCCAGGTGACCGAATACAATCCCCTTGAGGTTGCTCTAGTGTAGGCTCCGTGGTGCACCGACGGCTGGAAGTATACATGCATCGCTTTATTGGTGGCAATCCCCCTGCGTCTTGACAAGCGGCTTGTTGACCTGAAGAAGGCTTGCGCCGAGTGCGAGTAGCTGACATGTGGTCTCGTTCATGAAATATCGAGCCTTTTCGCTGACCTGTAGTAGCCAAGCCGCACAATGAGCTGCCGCATTCGAGAACTCTTGGAGGCTTCCAGACCGGCGGGACAAAGCAGATGCGTATATACAAGTCAATCTGGCGTTCAATAGAGCGACAGATGGAGCAGAAGGGGAGTACGACTGAGTAGAACACATTTTTGAATGAACGAACCTCTCCCCAACACCTGAACATGTGAAGGGGACTGAAGTCGTGACTCGCCACCAAGAGGCGAACCATAGCGCGTGTAGAACATAGCACTGATGAGGCACAAAGCTTACAGAGATTGGCGACGTGCTGCAGGACGGCAGCAGGACGATGGCGCAAGAGGTGCCGGATGTCTTCTTGGACGCCATTGTGAACGCCAGCTTCTTTGGATGTTGACCGCCCCGTCAAAGTATACTCAGCATCGAGGATGATAACATCCATACAGTTGCAAGTGAGGAAGTCAAAGACTCAGCACGGTCAAACAGCAGAGGCAAGCCCGAGACCCTGAAAGCACGATCCACGGGGCCTGTCCCCTGTCCGCACACAAGAACGGGGACGCCCGCTGACGATCGGTGGCCTGATTGCACTACGCCTGACACCTGCCCGTCAGAATTCTCCGATGATCAGGGGCTGTGCTGCTGTCAAATTTCCCGGCCCTCTAGCTCGTCCGAGTAGGTCAGCGCCATATGGTCATAATAGCAGCCGCTGGCTACTTAGTAGTCACGTTGATATGGTGTGAACCTGGGTTATCGAACTAGTTAGAGCATAGCAATCAGGTTTATGCGGTCATCAATCTATGTGATCGTAGTGCTGGGACTCACTTGGTTTAATCTGGGTATGGATGTACAATGTGTGGTTATCAAAGACAGACGAAGAGGGGAAATGCTTGCGCGTATGATGGAGCATCAGAGACACAGCAAATTCAGTGTGTCGCCCCCTCGACTATGCTCAGTCGGATCATTCATGATGAGGGAATGGAAAGCGAGGCATACGATATTGGTCACATGCCCAGGGCTATTCCTAGATGTGATGAACCTCGTGGATGGAACGACAGCCCAAAATAGCCATGGGGCCTGTCAGGTAGTCTAGCCTCAAATATGTTGAGGCCAACTACTTCGTTCGGGGCGCTTCACTTGATACTCGTAGCCATGGCTGGTGTCTTTTTCTGGAAGCTCGAAGCGGGCGTCAGAGGAGTTTATGGCTACGTAAAGCTAGCGCGCTTGGAGAGGTGATACTGTATGCTTGGATATGCGGATCTGACTGCTCAGCAAGCACACGGCAGGAGAGACGATTACGACGACCAGCCTCCAGGCTTAGTCGCGCCGGATGTCGTGCCCAGCTGACACAGAACACAGGGAACCTGCAGCTTCCAGGGGCAAGCACCATTTCGTTCAAAGAAAGCTTGTAGAACACCGCTGCACACAGTGGTTGGGACCCGTGTTTTCCGTTGTTAGCATCTTAATGAGTGCACTAAAGGTCGTATGGGCAGTCGGATCCGATGAGGTGAGAAACAGTTGCTAGGGTCTGCTTGTCCTGGCGCATCCAAGAATTGTTGAGCGGGGGCATATGCTATCAGATCATGGCGGGAACAACATGTCGCGACACTGTGGCGCTGTTTGCTTGAATGCCCTGGGATCATCATGCTTAGGATCGTGACGCGTAACGAGATGATAGGCTTGTCTCGTAGTGATGCACATACTGTACACACATCTCTGCGTAGCTTACGCTTAGGCGTAGACGCACGAGCTGCGAATTGGGCCACAAGTCACCGTTGACGAGCACTTCAGATCTTCGTTTTGGAGATGCGGCCCTGATTTTGGCTCCAGGCCCGAGCCTGGTAGCTTTCAATGCAGTATTGCAAGCGCACAGACCAGTCGTTCGCGAGCCGTCGTTGGGTGTGACAACGGCTTTCTGTGCACTCTGACCGGGACCTGACCGCGATACGTGACTACAGCGCTGCTGACGAACTACCTCCACAAATTGTGCGTACTTGCAGCGACAAGTGTCCTCAGACAAGTTAGAAAGCTTCAAGTCCCAGTTTCATCCATGTCGATTTATGCCTGGAAATTATTATGGCCAGAGAGTCTTCGTTTTGGTCACATTGGGGTCCTTCGAGATTTCAGCGTTCCTAGCGTACCAAATTGGTATTGTAACCAGATTTTGCCTGCATGACGAACGATCGACCACAAGCTGCCAGTGCCTGGTATGCTATCGGCCGCGCCGTACAACGCCAACGTCTCGCTACCGGGCTCACGCCGTCAGGACACGCACAAAGCGACTCTCATAGAGCGTACTTGTGCTATGGAGCCTCGGGAATGGCCATTGCCACATGGTCCTAGTCGTTGATCATCGCTAGAATGCATGCGCGTCCGCTGATAACGCGAAGCTGTCTTGTCAGCAGTGTATAGAAGTTGATGCCAAGCACACCACCAGAACCATCGAATCTGTCGGTGCAGCTAATCAGCTCACAAGTTTTCAGTATGAAGCTTTGCCATGATACTGGACCATGCGCTTCGCTGATGCTTTAGATCGAATACCGAACAACATGGCAAGCTTCGTGCGCCGGCCATGAGTAACAGGTGACGCGCGCGCCAACCGTGCGCTTGTAACAGCATCTGAGGCGATCCACATGTCACCAATGCCATTGGTTGGACCCTCAAACGGTCAAAGCCAGTCTAAATTGTCAATGCTGGACCAGATTGTTGTCCGCCGGGGCCCACATAGTAAAGAAATCCATAGTGCAGTTCTCCATGGGGCGGCAACCACCCACATGAGAGACGACAACTCAATGAAGGCTGCATACTGAGCTCATTGCTAGACTTAGCGTCGAGCCTCCTATCCACAGCTCGTCTGTGTAAGTGTCCATAATTGACCCAAAATGAAGTCGATGATGCCAATCAACTTGAAATTTGTCTGATTCTGTTCATGGAGTCATTAATTGTGAGCTGTTCTCGATCCACTCGCAACGGCTTATCAGTACTTGATCAGATCGCTGTAACGTGCTCCTGTCAAGGCTGCGACACCGGCGTCTCCTGGGTGTCCATTAATCTGGAAGGCTGGAGTAAGCGATATTCGTGTAACAGGGCGCAGCAACCGTGGAAAGCGACGTGGTTCTCAGACTGGCGTCTTCGAGTCGAATGAGACAATCAAAGCAAGAACCCAAATCGGCTCCTAATCCTCCCGATACAACACTACAGTTGATGCAGGTCGCCATTATGTATCGGAATCTTACAGTTGCTTGGACGCCCGACCATCGCCGTCACGGGGTTGGGCGGGAGGCTGCAGATCAATTGGCCTCGACAGGAGACGCCCTGCAGGGAAGATGCGCGTCTTGTGACCTCGCAATGAGCTGCGACGCCCTATCTGAGCCGTGATCTCCTGAGTACCCGCTCAGCCACCATCTGAATCTACGCTTCAACGGGCTGTTGTGCCTGGCTGCGGTGAATTCTCTGGCAGGCACCGAGTATGTTGAGGGCGGCGCTCCTAGTGCGGTGAGGCACTTCGGAAAGTAAGCGGGAAGCCCTGCCTTTGCATTCTCCATCCGGATACGTCAGATGACCAGGCTGATAGGGAACTGGTAACTAGCTCGGGTCAGTCTGATGTTGGCATCTGCGGCAAGCCTTCTCTGCTTGCTGGTCTGCCGCTGATCGCTATTCACTCATTGGCCCAAATGCTCTGGTGAGCTGTGTAGCTGTGGGTTGAGGAATGCAATGCGAAGATGAGTACTCTCATCGCCGGTCAGCCCCGAGCGCTGGGGTGTGGACGGCCGCAACGTGCGAGACACATGAGCTTGATGATGTTTGGGACGTTAATGTCACCCTGAACGCGTGGAGCATCGCTGAGGCAGCGCAGTAAGGGAGAGCAAGCGCTTTGCGGTGCTGTTCTCCACGGCACGGCCAGATGATGAGAGCGGTTGGGGAGTTCAGCGCGACCGATGCACGACGGGAAGGGCAACGCCGCGCTAGCAGCCAAAAAAGGCTGGCGCGCGGCCAAGTGGGGACTAGGTAGCCGCGGGCGCTGCACGTCACCAGATGGTCTTTTCCAATCCCCTGCAAGTCCACCCCTCCATCCAATCGATCATGTATCGCTTTTCATCTCGACTACGCAAGGGAGCCGCCGAGCCGGTCCACGCCCCGTTGTTTTTCGCTTTCTTGACCGTTCAGACCCCGGCTAACGATATGCCGCTCGCCGCTCCCACCTTGTCCGAAGCGCAACGAGAGCTGAGTGACAACCTTAGACGGCAGCCCTCACGATGACTGGCCATGCCCTCTTTCGGAGTAATACGCAGTACCCCAGGCTGCCGGGTCGAGTGAAGCAGCCCGGATCATGGCGCAGAGAGCTCTAACCAAAACCTCTAGGCGATGCAACCTCTGAGCATCACCCGCTGCACGCTTGCCTCAGCGAGAGGGACCTGGCGTCGGTGTGTGGGCGGTGGCTGACTTCTCGTCGAATTCAGTCACCCAAACCGTCATTGTCAGAGCCAAGTTACAGCGTCACTATTGTCCCGTGACAGGTAACGGCCCTCGAACCAACGTTTCTCCTTGTCCTTTGATCCCCTCGTCTTCCCGTTCACCCACGGTTCGCCCTGGCCTTCCATCTGCGGCTACCGGGCCGTGGCGCTTTATCCCAGCCTGCTCCTTGGCTACCTTTGATCCACTGCTGACTGGGCGCCGTGGGCAGTGAGCGTCCAACCAATGTTGATGTGGCAAGAGCGAACCCTGATCATCTGTTCGCTTCATGGGTTATTCTTGGGCGGCTGATCGAGATGAAACATCGAGGTCCCAACTGCTCGGTCCATGTCCTGCTGTGTCGATTCGGCCACCCAATTCAGTGTGGTGTCGTGGTCAATGTTCCTGCATCGCTGCACGGGGACCGTGATGCGCCTCTCCGGTCAGCCAATCCACTCGTTGTAAGAGAGTGAGCTACTGCTCCCGCGGACAGCAGAGGCCCTACGCTGGTGCAAGGAATGCAAAGCTCAGCGTGGACCAGCTACCATTCGAGCAGGACGCGAGCCTGGACGCTGGGGCAGGTCATCTCCCTGACGTCTCGGAGATATAGAGTCGCCAACTTGGGAAAGGCTCGCTGCTGCAGCTTGCCAATACTACCGTGGTGCTAGGAAAACGGTCAAGGTCTAAGAGCAGGGCAATACGGATCATTCGCTTGTGGGCTGAATCTTGATCCATCATCCTGAATGATGTTGTGGGGCTATACTTGCTTGGTAGGCACTTCTCCTTTCAGCCAAACATCCCGAACCTGACCCCCAGCTCACCCTATTCTGGATCAAGCTATAGCGGTTTCTATCTGCGAACCGTACATCTATTGCCCAGATTCTGTATGCTCACGTTCTCTTGTGTCGACCGTCTTTCGAACTCACATCGAACTTACAACTTTATCAAGAAAGCCTTCTCCTTCGTGGAAGCGCTTGATACATCTTGCGTACCAGTCTGTTCATTTCCAGGGTTTGGTACCCTATTCGGCAGCCTTGAGTTCTAGCATTACGGGAGTATCGAATCCTAGCGGCTTTGTACAACGATCCCGAGCAAGAGCCAGATTGATCTGAAGGCACGGTGCATATATGCTTCGACCCTTCAGACGGCCAGTACCCGCTCAAGTCGAGTCAGAAGAGCACTTCTCGAACCTGTCCTCAATATTTCAACACCTCTGTCCGCATTACTGTCGGAAAGTCACTGTCAATCTGCATCTTCCACGTTACAGTAAAGCGACGGACAACGGTCAGGCTATTCCGTGGACCAGGCCTTCGCGTAGATCGCTGAGCATTTGACGACAACACCCTCGCTGAAACAGCCACGATCGAAAATCAGGCGACGCCACATTGTATCTTTTAGGAACTCTGCAGAATAACCCTGTAAGCTCCACTACCATTGCGACATGCTCCCTTGTTTGATGCGAAGGACTGACAGGTCGCAGTGCAGCAGTGACAGCGAGCATACACACCGCTTACGTCGCAACAAGGATTACCAGAAGTAGGCAGCCGAATCGTCGCCCGTACCTGTCTGTGCTTGCTATTCGAGGTCTGTGGAGACTGCGGGAAGAAGCAAAACATACTATTCGATCTAGCAGTTTGCCTTGACGACCGTTTAATCTCAGGGTTTAAGGCGTCGCGCAGCCGCAACAGGTGACATCAACAGACGCCAGACATCTGTATCTTTGAAGCTTCGAAACTGTAAGTATGCCCAGTACTCCTTACCTCCCAGCGGCTCATTAACCAAGCCTTGCGGCAGACTCGAGCGCCGACAAGCTAGTGGGTGCATATCGACGTGCATAACAGGATCGAGCGCGCAGATCATTTCATCCATCGCATCTTTCCTTCGATTTTACGTTCAGAGCTACTTGTCAACATCATCAACAACGTCTCTGTTACCTCCAGTAACTCGGACAGCCGCAGGTTATCAAGTCGTACCCCTGCACCAGCTATATCACCCCTCAGGCGGACCAGCAGCAGCATTGGACGAGGCTGCGACGACCATCACCAATCTCGCTTCCGTCTTTCACTCCACCTCGAATCAGCCTTTGAGAGCTTGCCTCGAAATCGCCGCTTCAATCTGCAGCGCAAATCGAGCGCCACAACAACCTAACAGAATTGAGCGAAGTGACCATTCGTCGCTCACCAGTACGGCTGTAAGTTATCATTCATTTGCACACCGAGATACAGTGCCATTATAATTAGCTGCTGTTTTTAATATGGTTACGAGTATTCTGACAATTGAGCAGCGCTATCTTCACTGGGTCGTTCTCTCAAAATGCAGTCAAGTAAGTGAGCAAGTTTTGTTTTGTATTTTGCGCGCTCTCGAGAGCAAAAAGTCTCCACTTTTCGCCCATCCAAGCGCTGCACCCTCCAGCCATGAACTGGCTGGCGCCTTTCTCCGCATTCTTATCCTGCATTCCGCCCGCGCCTCTTTCTTATGCTGGTCAACAACACAGCCAACATGCGCGTTCTGCTTAGTACTTGTCTATTGCTACACGCTGTGGGTCCTCCTATTTCGATTCCTGCAGCTTCTGAAGTGGGCTCTCGCACACTTCTTCTAGCCTAACTGCGGAGCCACCTGTACAACCAACACCCCACGCGCGTATGCTTCTCTGTGCTCAACCGCTTGCCGGCGCACGCTTTTTGCATTTGTCGCCAGCATCGTTCTACAACACCACCATCACGGTCGAAGAATGATTGGCTAATCGCAGGACGAGCAGTACTCCACCCTCCGTTGCCAATGGCACAAGACAACCATTTCTCTACAGACGAAGGATGCATCGACCAGATTGGCTCTCATGCACATCATAACTCTTTCGCAGCTGGTGTACCCGATCAGCTAAGGCGCGACGGGGCCCTAGCTCATACAGCGACCGGTATGCTTTCCAGCGCGATTACAAGCCGTTACGGTGCACCCCGTCCCGACGCAACGTAAGTAGCCTCTCTCATTGGTCTCCTTCTTCCCGGTCTGGCATGCAGGCTCCGTAGTGCTGCCTGCCGACCCCAGCTTGCATCCTCGACGCCTCTTTGCCTGATGCTGGCGGACCCCTAGCCCCCAAAGAAAACACGTCGACGATACCTTCCATCATACCTGCCGTCGCACACATATCGGATGCATGACACACCTAGCTCTCCCAGCAGGCCGGTCTGTCACGTATGATCACACGACAAGCCCAGTGGGTCTGCCATACCATCCCTGGTCAACTTGACAACTTATACCGTGTCACCCTACACTTGGTTACACATTGCTGTCGCTCGCATCAGTTGGACCGATTAGCATTGTTTTGCTGGGCTTACTGACTGCCAACAGTTACCAATCCGGTGTTGCTCTCTCCGATTCAGGGTCTGGGTCCATCTCAACCTCGCCCAGCTCCAACGCCTCGTCGGCGCTAGCTTACACCTACTCATCTTTTTCTCCGACTGTGGCCACAACCTACTCGAACCAGTACCCTGTGGCAAACAACTACAGCAGTTTCCCTGGTGTCGGTTACGGTAACATGTCGACTCGACGGATGTCCTCCATGTAGGTAGCCGTTGTGGCGCGTTCGTGCGCGACAAACCTAATGTGTATGCATGACAGCTGACAGCAACAATAGAACTGATGCTTCATCGTCGGCAATGTTACCACCGACACGATCACCAGGGTTGAGCAACCCTGTATCACCGCCCATGGGTGTGTCGGCTCGGGACAACTATACAACAACGTCGTCTGGCCTGCACAGACACCCTCATACCCTTTCGCCTCGTCACTCTGATCTCTCTCGCTACAACTCTCTACCCGATACGCCCAGGAGTGTGCTATCAACCACCATGCCTTTGGCATACAGTAACTATTCGAGCTCCCTTTATCCAAGCCCTGGCCAAACGTCAGACTCCCCACCTTTTCATGCCCAAGAGACGTACGGAACCATTACATGCGAAGGTACCACAGTTGTTCCAACGCTCGACGCGAAGATTGAGAAAGGGTTCTTCTACTCCGGGGATCGGGTCTGGACATGCTACCGCAGGAACTACTTCGCTGTCAATGTCTCCTACGCTCTCAGCCCATGGATCTCGAACTCCCGCCTGTACCTTGATCAAGGGAACGGCAAACAACCAGAGCAAATACAATCGATGGCCGTTTCGCTCGCCGCAGCTGTTGACGGTACGGCTGGAAAAACCATCGAGCTTATTCAGCACACTCCAAAGCGCGACAAGGGCCCGCAGCTGTCCATGAAGAAGGAGCTACTTGCACCGACGCCGCCTGGAAAAAGCCTTGAGCACGGTGGATATGGGCTCAACAGTTTCCACCAGTCGTCAAGCGTCCCAGGCCCACAGTTGCCCCTGCAGAACGAGAGCGATTCATCACAGCAATATTCGCCCACCAGTCATGGCAGCAGCAGTTACCAGCATGCTTTCGAACGCATTCAATTCAAGTCAGCAACCGCGAACAACGGCAAGCGTAGAGCCCAGCAGCAGTACTATCATCTAATTGTCGAACTCTGGGCCAACATTCAGAATCCACGAGATAATGAACCGAAGTGGGTGAAGGTCGCCGCCCGCTCGTCCCACCCTGTGGTCGTTCGTGGAAGATCGCCAAGTCACTACCAACACGAGGGCCCCCACAACGCCGGTACAAGCCGAGGTGCTGGCGGGTCAGGTCTCGGCGGGCCTGGACATCATGGCTTGGGATCAAACGGTGCACGAGCTTTCGGTTCATACAGCAACGGTCTATCGAACGGTAGTGCAACAATGGGTGGTAATATGTACCGTGGAACCACCTACTCATTAGATCCGAGTCCGATCGGCAGCCATTCCGTAAGCTCTGCCAGCTCTCTAAGCGGTGGTCCACACGAGGGCCTCGTTGGCGATCAACACATGGTCGACTCGGATGACACCAAGATGAACGACGCCCCCCAAGATTACTCCTACTATCCTGCACCCCTGTACGAGAGCATCCCATCCAAGATCGAATGTTCGCTGCCACTGCTACCGCGTATCGTCAAAGAGGAGTATCCAGGTCCTGCAGCACTGGCTGCCGGTTGGCAGAACGGCGGCTGTGGGCGGTTCCAGGGCATGGAGACTAGCCGCGGGTACTACCCAGATGTGCATGCTCACGCTGGATACTGAGCTACTGCACGCTCAAGTCCACCCTCAGTCTCCTTCGCTGGCTGCGCACGAAGTCACATCGGTACTCGAGTCTACAGACTTCCTCTCTCACTCATGGTGCCACCCACTGCCATCCACTACCACCCCCTCCTACGACTTCGCAATCGGCCACTCCCGAAGCCAGTTCGAAGGCTTTATACCGACAGCGACTCAAAATAGTATGCCAGGTGCATACCCGACCTCGACCTCGAGCACACAACACAGTGCCACTGAACATACATTCGCGCGGCCTTTTGTCTTGAAATTCGGCGTCACGTTCCTTGGTATCTTTTCTCATCCTCCTTGTCCTAATATTTTTAATCCTGCACCTAGCACTACCGTCATGACACGATTGAACGATGCGCATTAGCGAACGTTCCCTTTGCTTTTTTCTTCGTCTTTCGGTGCAGTTTCCTTTTGGCGTTTCAATATCACGATATTGCTTTTGGCGCGATACAACACTGGTGTTAGTACAGGCGCAGGAAAATTGTCACGAGTTACGGACGCATTGCACATGGAGCTTGTGGGTAAAACTGGTACAGGCCGATGTTCATACCCACCCTCTCCTATGTACTGTCACCAATGAGGTCGCACTACCTGCTGGTGACAGTGGTCACAGTTTTATGAGTAATGGGTGATGACCATGGCATCTCTTTCGAAATGATCATGGGAGTACGGACTATAGGCGGGCAGGGAGCACAAGCGTGGTGGCGGAGCAAATGTGGCTAACGATGGTGGCCCTTGTCAATTGTATGAATATATAGCCTTGAAAAGCTTCTGATAGTTGCGAATGCAGGCGGCCCTTCTTGTTTACTCGCACCTGCTATATTCACACTTGTCGCGCTGTCCGTGTGCCTTTCACAACTTCAATCTTGCCACGAGTCATGCCCCACCACACCTCCACCCATGCGTCCTTCTGTCTCGTTCCTCGCAGGTCGATGCACACTACTGCACGGCCGGTCAGAGCCTGATCGCTCACCGCCTCGCCCTCAACAACTGCCACATGACATGCTCCTTGTTTCTTCTTCACAACGAAGAGATGAGCTCTCACTTCTTGAGATGAGGTGCAAGGAAGCTCAACGGTGTCTGGCTAGCGGCGGGGAAGCATGAAAGCGGCGGCGGCGGGCCTGGCCTCGGCTTTGAGCGCCTAGCGGCACAGCAGAGTTTCCCACTTTCGCTCTGCCACGCGTGCGATCAGTCCAAGCGCTGCAACGGAAGATGCGGGCCCGGCGAACACTTTGTCACGTCATCAACCGAGCGCCAACACGCGTGCCCCTGTCAAATATTCCAGCCTTTAGGGCCTTCAAATACACGAAACTCACCGCCAGAACTGCGCGCATCTCCTTCGCCTGCGCAATTATACGGATAGAGCTGCGCTACTGCGAGCGCCCGCCCGAGCACCTGGATTGAGAAAGAGAGGGACTGCTTGTCTGGATACCGCGGCAACATGGCCTGGTACGATCAGGATAGCTGGCTGACCCAGGCACTGTCACCGAAGCTGTCGACGATTGTGATCACGTTTGCGATCGCCCTTGTTCTGCCTATTCTGCTGCATTCTTTCCTGTACAGGAAGGCGGCTGCCTCGACAGGACTGCCCACGTTTTTGCTCGCAGGGCCAAGTGGAGGGGGAAAGACTGCGTTCACGACTCTGGTACGTCGCTGCTGAACCTGCAATACGCACGCAATACAGGCGCGGCCGGTGCCTGGAGCAATGCAATGCTAATATGGCTATAGACTGAGCGCGGCACCGTCGTCACCACCCACACCTCCATCGCCCCTCTACAGATCGAAGCACTGCTCCCCGACCCTCACGTTCCCGCCTCCTCGCACTACCGCTCCCCCGGCGACCCAGCTTTTGAGCGCTCACGCCGCTTCATCATCATCGACACGCCCGGTCACGGCAAGCTCCGTAACTACGCTACCTCCGCCCTCGCGGCTCCTAAGAATGTCTGCGGCATTGTCTTCGTGGTCGACGCCGCTGCCATCGACGAGGAAGCTGGTCTGAACGAGGCTGCAGAGTATCTGCACGATGTACTACTCAGTCTGCAAAAGAGACACACCAACGCGAAGACAAGCAAGGGACCCAAGGACATCCCTGTGCTGATTGCGGCAAACAAGATGGACCTGTTCACTGCCCTGCCGGCGAGTGCGATCAAGAGCAAGCTGGAAAAGGCAATCGGTGCAGTCAGGAATAATAGGGCGAAGGCGTTGCGGGATGCTGGGTCTAAGCTGACTGGTGAAGACGATGTTGATGAGGAGAAGGAGTGGCTTGGCGAGGGCGGAGAGGGCAGCTTTGAGTTTGACCAGATGAGACAGGTTGGTACGAATATTGATGTTGTTGGTGGCAATGTTAGCCAAGGCAAGAATGTTGGTGATGTTGCGGGATGGTGGGCGTGGATGGGCGAGCACTTGTAATGATAGACGGCCAGCAGCTGGCATATTGTGCTACGGAAAAGGTCGATACTCAACTTCGATGTACTTGATAAACAGTGAGTAGACTACACTATGCGAAGTCTTCAGACTTTTCTGACGATTGCACAATTTATAATTTCTCAGCGTCCTTTCGGCCTCAGGCATTTCCGTTTGGCTCCTTCCTCCCCAGTGTGGTGTATCATACCTCGAAATTCTGCCCCACCGAATCATCATGAGGCTCTACCAGGCTTAGGTTCTCGTCCCCATCCTCCCTTAAACATCGAGCTTACTCTCAGACATGCGCGCCCTAGCAAGAGCCATGCTCAGATGCATAAACCACGACACACAAGTCTGTACGTAACTCAATTAGATCTACTCAGCAAGCGATGCATACAGAGCACATGGCGTCTGATATCAGAGGGCGTTCACTGAACGTCAAGTTCCGTCTCGTTCCTGGCATTGAGGACTCGGATGCCGAGGGGCTGCTCCTCAGGCTCTTTAGTACCAAGAAACCAACAGCCAAAGACATAGAGAAAAATCTGACATCCTTACGGTCCACACTATGTGGCATGCGGACCTGTTTAATCTACAGGCAGCTTCCCAAAATCGAAGGGACTCGAGCCAATGTTGAGATGCTTCCGGAAGGGGACCTCGGTCGAGAGATCCAGATCCAGGATGTCAGAGCTCACACCGGTCCCGAGTTTAAGATGACTAATGGAGTCAACAGGATCACTATCAGTGCTGCGGAATACTTCAGCAAAGGTAAGCTATCCCCACAACGAGTTGATGAAACAGTTTACCTGACTTCACCAGCGACAAAAGGTGGTAAGCCCTGAACAAGAACCCACCTTTCGTGAGAGACAATACAGGAGCCTGGATCCCGCTTGAGCTCCTCAAATTCAAAGGAAGTCAGCCGCTAACAAGCTTCGGTCATCGGAATGAAGCTATTCGGCAGCAGGTCAAGAAAGTCCTTGAAGGCGGTGGTGTTTCTCGGCTCTGTGAGCTCGATAGAAGGCTAATCGAGAAAAATAGCGCACGCGTTGTATGTCATCTTGCCACATCTATTGGTCTTGACCCGGTACTAAAATCCTGGTATCAGATGAAGGAGAAACCATGGCTGAAGGTCTCGACGCTGGGGTTCTTCTCTTCGATCTCGTCCCTTAAGCCTTACTAAGAGTACATCGAAGTCGAGTTCGAGCAGACTAATATTAGACTTCTTGAGATCGATGAGTCTGATACTGGTTGTTACGCATACGTGTTTGAAGGGCAACTCCAACGACGCTACGGTGATGTAGGAGGACAGAAGTTCGCCTTGAAAGCAGTACTCAACAACCCTTGGCGGATGCTCAGCGACTGAGTCAAGCTACTCGTCGCTGTGGTTTACGATATTGACAATCGACCGAAGGAGGCAGTGAGGGAGACCATTGCTCGTCTGCACCGAGCGGTCGAAACAAACTTGGAGGCTTCTCTACTCTGTATTCCCGTCTCCCACATCAAGATGCGCATTGAAAGAGCGGTCAAGCCAGACGAGTACGTGCCGAGTGATATCTACGCAAAGATTGGCCTCATATTTGGACGCGCGTCGCCTGGACAAATACCACATAAGTCTCTTCTTGCAGACAAAAACACGATGATCGTCGGTGCTCACGTCACTAGCAAGAGTGAAAAGAAAGATGTTCGACCCTCCTTTGCAGCAGTCGTTGCTAGCAAGGATACTTCTGCTGTCCAGTACGCCGGGTCTGTTCGAAAGCAGGCCTGCGAAGACGGAATCAAGCAGCTCAGCGAGATGATGCAGGAGGACTTCAAGCAATGGTGCGACCAACCTCTCACACGCATGCTCCTCTTCTGTGATGGCATTGAATTCAACCAAATAAGAAATCAAGCACATCCACGAAGGCTACAATGCCGCATTTCCTGGCGGCAACAACCTCGATCTCACATACGTGGCCGTCAACAGGGATACTGCGCTTTAGTACTGTCGTGTATAGAGCCCTGACATCATTCAGATAGTTCTGCAGTTCGACTACCTCGCTACCGGCGACGAGCTCGCAAAGCACCGCTACTATGTCCTTCACAACGACGCGAAGATGAGCGCACCCGACCTGGCCGACTTCACCGGTCGCCTGAACTCCAGCTTCCCGCTTAATCCGCATGGCCAGACTTCCAAGGCACTCCCTCTGCTATACGCAGCCAAGCTTGCTCGCCGTATGAACGATTACATCCGTTACGATAGTGACGCACATGTGGTCACTCAGACTGCTGAATCGCCGGGAAGAGCTCTCGAGGCGAGCACCTACTCTCTTGGAAGTAGGAGCTTGAAGGTACTATGTTCTACTTGTAGAGCAACATGGCTGTCGTGACTTTGGCAGAGCCACCTCTGACTGTTCTCACGTCATTTTTGGCCTCATATTAGTCCACATCTATAAGCTTGCTTTTCTGCTTTTTCCAATTTTTTTGTCTCTCACTGCCTTGTTGTCTGCTTTTGTTGTCTTAGATTTCCTATGTTCGTTTCGTTTCGCCTTTGGTAACTGTCGCGCGCTTCCCTTATACTCAACGATCTGAGGCTCCTCGCACTTGTCTGATGATCTCTGTGGTTACAGTGGATCTGTAGCTTTCTTATGGTCTGTCTGTATCCCAGTTGATTTTCCATTTCTTCTTTTGCTTTCGTTAGTCTGGTATGTAGCTTTACATTTTGTACAAACTCATCCAATACATTCATTCCAAAAAAAGATCGGGCCAAAAGCTGCGGAATGGTTTAGTGAGGATATGCAGCACTGGCATAGTCGGATGATATATCTAACAGATACGAACACCTTACGCTTAATTTATTCTTTCAGACACAGTGGTTTGTTCTGTTTGAAGAGCTGAGAACCTCCTGCTTTGTCTGTTCACTCAAAGGTCACTTTCTCATCAGATGAGACTTTGACAATTCCACACACCCAGATCGTACCTCGTGTAAATACTGATGCCGCCAATAGGAACCCTAACCCATAGTAGCCACATCTAAGAGCTAAGGGGAAAATCCTTAGGCATCTAGCTTAAGAACAGTTTTAACAATCACCCTCTCCTCATTGTTGTCTAGCTTCCGCAAGTTGGCTATAGAATTAGCACGTGAAGGTTGTCCTGCGCGTTGTCTGCGTAGTGTAGATTTTAGAACCCTGTAGATAGCAGCAGCGCGTTGCAGGGATAGAGTTGTGTCTTGTTAAATGGCCTAGAGCGTAAGCTGCATCTAAGCTTCCTTTGACGCGTCTAACTGGTGTTGTTGAGGAGACATTAGTGTGGAAAGGGTGGTTTGGTGGGGGCTTGGCAAAAGTGGTCCACTCGTCCGTGGGGTACGTTATACAGTAAGGCATAACTTACGCACATGTAAGAAACCTGTGAAAAGTGTTACTAAATAATATTATTTGCTATACTACTAAATAAGAGGCTAATGTGGGCTAATGCAGACCATAATTGGGTGGCAGATTGATGTGGTCTTGGCAGAGTGATTGGCTCGCAAGTGTGATCGGCTCGCCCGTGAGGTACCTCACCCCTCAGAGCTTACAAGCTCTATATAAGTAAGGCCCAGCAGCAGCAGCTGTTGTCGGAATCTCTCTCACGGAGCATCTGGATAGTGCTTAGCAAGGCAGGCAAGGTTATTGCAGAGGCAAATACCAGTGCTGCCCAGCTTAAGGCTGAGAATCAACAACTTTAACATTAACTAGATCACTAACGTACTCTATCACCGAGCTGGTCATATCACCGAACTAGTCATATCACCGAACTAGTCATATCACTAAACTAGTCATATCACCGAACTAATCATATCACCAAACTAGTCAAAAACTCTTAGCGCGCCTAACTTATGTTGCAGCAACTTGAATTACTTACTATTAAACAGTAATCTAGCATACTGTGTACTTGTATTAGATTTAGAATCTGCTCCTATATCTTTCTAACACGTTTAAGCGTTGTGCCTAGTGCCTCTACAGTTTCTACAGCACTGTTAGGCTAAATAGGTCCTTTCTTAAGTATCTACACTATAAGTCTTCTTTAACAGCTAAGCTGCTACAGACACCTTAGCAGCTACCTGTGATGCTGCTAGGCTGTGCTTAAGTTTGCTGCCATGCTAAATCTGCTTTTGCTTGCGCAACTTCCTCCTACTTATAACTACTAATTACTCTTTAAGCTTAGTAATGCAAGTAGCTTAAAGTGCGTTTTTAGCAGCGCAGATGCTCTGTATAACTATAACCCACTCCTAATCACCTAGCTAAACAAGCTTAGGTTAAGCGCGTCTCTTAGCGCCTGTGACAACCTTTATTAACCCTATCACGCCTATCTAGAACCTAGTCTTATTAAAGTTGTGCACGTTATTGTTGTAGATGCTATACTTAGCCTTAGTACCCTCTACTAGCATAAACTACGTCTTAATTACCTTAGGATCTTCCTGCAGTATCCTCTGTCTGTCCTTTGCTTAGTTAAATGCTATCTTAAGCTAATCTAAACGTGTTATAAATCTTATAACATAGATTATCACCAAGCCAGCCATATCACTAAACTAGCTATTTTCTCTTAGTTGTAACGGTCTAGACTCTAAAGCTAAAGAAGAGCTAGAGCTAGCTGGTTACATTAGCTTAGCCGGCTTGGCTTAAGCTGGATATATATTATCTACGCAGTTAACTAGACGTCTAGTTAACTTGTGCATGCTTTTTAGCAAAAGTTGTTAGGAAGTAGATATCCTTTATTGGCCTTTGGCCAGACTACTACATTAGTACAACTAACACAAGTTATTACAACTACAACTACTTGCTATTAAATAGTGACCTAGCATACTGCATGCTTGTATTAGATTTAGAAGATATTTCTACACCCCCCTAGCATGTTTGTGCGTTGTGTCTAGTCTTGCTGTAGTTCCTACAGCGCTGAACAGTTAACTAAGCTCCTAGTTAACCACCTCTACCCTAAGTCTTCTTAGATGGCTGAGCTGCTATACACGCCTCAGCAGCTACCTGCAATGCTGCTAG